CGATCCAGGCTACTCTCCTCAGCCCTGGTCAGAGAAGCTTCTTTTTGCAGTGGGCAATAGTCAATGGAGAGATGTAGAACTGGTCAAAGTGCTGAGAATAAGAGACTATGAGTGTTGAGTCTTAAATGGGGCATCTTTCTCACCCTCATCACCACCACCACCACCACCACCACCACCAAGGCTCAGGGAACACTGAGGAAAAGAAGATGGAAAGAATGTAGGAGTTGGGTGATGGGGAGGATTGCTGTGAAATACAAGCTTCTGGGCTTGACATGGCTATCACATTAATGAACTCATAGCAGCTTTGGTTACCTGCACAAGATCAATCAGGCCCAAATTCCAGCACAGATATGGGAGATTCTATCCAGGCCCCATTCCTTATGGAGGAGCTACTGGCCATTGATTGACGAAGAGGGAGAATTGTTTTTTTTTTTTTTTTAATGTGGGATTACTGGTAGATTTCCCATGCTTCAGTGAATGGTCTTATACTTATATGCAAAGGGGCAGCATTAACTGGACTTAGTGGATTTAATAAAAGGACATGAAATTGGGGGTAGATATGATATTTCATTACATATGTGTATGAAATTCTCAAGGATACAGACAAATTAATATCAAAAAAGAAGGTTTTATATAAAAACAGTGTTGGTGAGATGGCTCAGTGGGTAAAGGCACCTGCTACCAGGTCTGACAACCTGAGTTCGATCCCCAGGACCCACATGTAAAAGGAGAGAATGACTCTGTAAGTTGTCCACTGACCCCCCCCCACATATATACATATATACATACATACATACATACATACATACACTCAGTATTTTTAAGACTATTAAAGAACTGTAATTCCATAAATAAAATCCAAACAATTCAATTAAAAATTGGAGAAAGCTGGGGCTGGAGAGATGGCTCAGCAGTTAAGAGCACTGATTGCTCTTGCAGAGGACCTGGGTTTGATTCCCAGCACCCACATGGTGGGGTTTGATTCTCAGCATTCACATGGCAGCTATGTACCATCCTTAACTCCAGTTCCAGGGGAATCTGAAGCCCTCTTCTGACCTCTGTGGCATTGCATGACACAGGTGCACTCACATACATGCAGGCAATACACTCATACACATAAAATAAAAATAAATATTTTTTTAAAAAATTGGAGAAAGTATTTAAATAGACGTTCCTCCCAAGAAGATATCCAAATAGCCAATAAGCTATGAAAGATCTCAACATCACTAGTCATTAAGGAAATGCAAATCAAAACCATATTAGAATACCACATTACATCCAACAGGATGGCTATCAGCAAAGTCAAAACAGAAAACAGTGTTGGTGAGGATGCTGGGTGCACTCATTGATGGAAGGAATATAAAATGGCATGGGAATTCCTTTAGATAATTGAGTAGAATCACGATATGATCCTGCAGTTCTACTTCTGGGTACATACTCAGAAGAACTGAGGACCACCCAAACGTGACAGACTGAGTTTGGCTCAGGTTCTACAGCCCATACTGTTTATCACTATCCTCCACTGCCTTTCTCTATATAAACTCTGGCTCAGTTAGTTTGATAAAAGAAGATAATCCTATTTAAACGATCGACAGTTTTTTTTTTTTTTTTTTTTTCCTTTTCTTTTTTTTTTGAGACAGGGTCTCCCTGTAGCCCCAGCTGGCTTGGAACTCACTGTTGCAGACAGGATGGACTTGATCCCATAAAGATTTGCCTGCCTCTGTCTCTGAAGTGCTGGAATTAAAGGTGTGCGCTACGCCTGGCTTCAAATACCAGAGATTTTAAAGCTGCCAAGTCTAAGACATGAGTTTGATACCTGGGACCCACACAGTGGTGAGAACTAATTCCCCCAAACTTGTCTCCTGAGTTCCGCATAAGCACTGTGGCACATACCAGCATGAACACACATACATGCACACACACATTAAATAAATGTAATTTGAAGAAAAATTTAAAAAGAACCCAAAGCAGGAATTCAATTATCTTTACACTCACTTTCTATTTTTTTTTAAATTTTATTTATTTATTTTTATTTTATGTGTATGAGTGTATTGCCTGCATGTAGGTAAGTGCACCCGTGTCGTGCAATGCCCACGGAGGTCAGAAGAGGCTGCTGGATCCCCTGCGACGGGAGTTAGAGACAGTTGTTAGCTGCCATGTGGGTGCTGGGATTCAAACCCAGGTCTTCTGTAAGAACAACCAGGGTTCTTAACCTCTGAGCCATCTCTCCAGCCCCTACACTCATAGCAGCATTACTCACAAGAGTGAATAAAAATGAAATCAACCCAAATGTCCATGTGCCAGGCAAGTACTCTACCACTGAAAGCATCCCCCCAACCACCCCTGCCAAAAAAGAAAACTTTTACACATGTATTATCCATTTTACAATAGGGATAAGCTTTGAAGACTTTATGCCAAGTAAAATAAGTCAGTCACAAGAGGACGAATGCTTATGATACCATCATAATAGTCAAACTCACAGAGACAGAAGTAAAATGGTTGTTGCTACAGATTATTTGGGGGGGGGTAGAACTGATATTTAATATGTAAAATAAAAAAGGTCAGTCTGAGGTGATGAAAAGTTCTGGAAATGGATTGTGCTGACAGTTATGACACAGTATGACTTTACTAACATCACAGAAATGCATTCTTAAAAATGGCAAATTTTGCCAGGTGTGGTGGCGCATGCCTTTAATCCCAGCACTTGAGAGGCAGAGGCAGGTGGATCTCTGTGAGTTCGAGATCAGCCTGGTTAAAGAAGCAAGTGTTAGGACAGCTGGGGCTTAAGGGAAACCCTGTCAAAAAAATTAAAAAAAAAAAAAAAAAAAAAGAGCAAATTTTATGTATATTTTAGTCTAAGAAAAAAATGTTAAAGAATGAAACTGAAAATCTGAAGAATGGTGGACCTCACTGGGCCATCAGTAGAACCGTGTTTTCACTTCAGCTCTTAGTATCTGAGTCTTCTCTTCTGGAATGGTCAGTTTTCCACAGGCAAGTATCCTGCCATCTCTTGTCACAGTGTACCTCACAGAATAAAATGCAATGCTTTACAAGTGCAATGCTTTACATATTGTGTAGCACTACTCTAAAAAACAAGATTCTACTATTTCATCATATAATAATAATATAACCAGGTAGTTTTGCTCTGATGCTATACTTATCCTGAATGTAGCTCAAGTTTGCATATATAATTCTAAAAAGAAAACAATCAAATGAAATGCATCTAATAAAAGGTCCACAAATCATTTCATAAAGAATAACTGAGGGAATTAGAAATTTTTAGCTTACAAAAGAACTGCCTGGAGGTGGTGGTGGGTTAAGGGCGGAGAGACACATTGAGATAACAAAAATGTGGAGTAAGGCAGTGATCGGTATCATAAATTTGAGGTTGATATTTGCCTTCTTGCCCCTTATTAATAGTGTGCTCTTAGAAAGGTTACTTAATCTGTTTTTTTAACCTGTAAAATGGAAACAACAAAAATACTTATGCAGTACCTTGCTCAAAAAATTGTAAGGATTAAAATATAAAAATTAAATTAAAAAGCATTTAACACAGTACAAGGCAGAGAATAAGAATTAGCAGAAATGTCTGTGTTTTTTACTGATCAGTCTTCAAGTATTAAAACACCTGAAGAGTATATATGTGGCCAAGGCAACACGTCTCAATTCTAAGTAGACATGTTCATCAATGGAAATGTGGGGAAGTCCCCAATAAACAGATGGGAGACAAATTGTCACTTATATTGTATAATTGTGGTTAACAAAGACGATCTGTTTCACAAATATTACATATATTCTTCTGACTTTTTTGCTTGGGCTCCTAACCTAGATAGGTAAAAGACATAGAATGGGCCAGGCGTGGTGGTGCACACCTTTAGTCCCGACACTTGGGAGGCAGAGGTAGGCAGACCTCTGTGAGTTCAACGCCAGCCTGGTCTACATAGCAAGTTGGGGCTACAGGAAGACCCTGTCTCAAAAAAAGACTGGGAAAAAATTTTTTTTTTAAAGACATCGAATAGGAAATTAGAAAGTACACTCCATAAACCCTGGAGACAGGAACTCAAGTCACTCACTGACACTCTAAGTCGCAGTGTGATATGTAATAAGTGATATGAAGAAGATAGAAGAGTTTTTTGGTTAGCGTTCCCAAAGTCCCAAGACTTGTTCTAGAGAGGCAAACTTAACTTTCTCACAAAATAAATAATGAAGAGTTAATTTATCCTTTAAAAAGTAATTAGATTGCTAAGCTAGAAAATTTAGTCAGGCATCTTTCAAACTATGCTTTAAAAATCTCTGGTATTTGAAGTCAAATGGTAACCTGATCTTTTATAATTTAGGGTTATCTTCCTGTATAACTAGTGATTACAGCTGAGCCAGAGTTTGCAGAGAAAGATAGTGGAAGGTGCTGGTGAGCAAGCTGGCTAGTAGAACCTGACTGCCTATGTTCCATGACAACTGGCTTGCTGAGGAAATTTGACTTTCAGAAGGAAACTAATGACAAGAAGGCTTACCTGTGATTACAGAACACCTACTACTTCATAGGACTTGGAACAACTACCTCTACAAATTTATAGCCATGTTCAAGGCTTGACATAAGTCCTAAGGCATCATTAAATAGTAAAACTGAGCATTCTTGGGCCATTCCAGGATTACAGATCTTATTTATAAGAAAGCAGAAACAAACTCTGGGGGAACTTGTTCTGGAAGAGACATTTTTCATCTTGCAATATGATACCTTATTTTGCTGACTACTAGAACAGCTGTGCTTTCTCTACTCTTAAAAAAATTCTTTTTAATTCAGAGTAATATTGTGAAGCTCCAAATTAAACTAATACATGTATACTCTAACAAGTCAAAGAAAACAAGACCAAGAAATATGAGGGCAAAGCTCATTCTTCCAATATTTGTTTCTAATCCCACTCTCTAAAGTAGCTAAAATTACTAGAAATTATTTTTATAGTTTTTTCAAAATTACTACAAATCAATACTCAAAAACTTACCTCCAAGTATATTGATGGTGGATTATGCTCCCCACCAAATTTGTCCAATAGGGCTTCTATATGTTCCTGTGTCAATTTAATCATTTGTTTGATATTCCACACCTAAAAAAGGAATTAAAAAATCACTTTGCATATGAATCAGAAATACTTTAAGGTGGACAAATAGAATCCAACTATTATTATCAATGCTCCTCAATGTTTACAGCTTAAGAGACTAGTTAGTGGAGTTTTCTTCTTAAGAAGCATTTTTTTTATACTAGTAATTCAGCATTTCCTACCTACAAGAGATTCGAATACCTGAATTTTTAGAATGAACAATAAAAACTGGCAATTATTGTATTAAGCAAAATAAGCCATACTCAGACAAATGCCATATTTTTCTTATGTGGAACTTACATTTAAAATTTTATATATATATGCACACACAAAAAATTATGAACTAGTTTCATCTTCTCCCAAATTTAGGACTTCCCATCAAAAAGCAAATGCTAAGTGTTACGGTTAACCTTCATTGTGAACTTGACTGGACTTTTATTATGAAAGAATATATTATATACCATCAAATAAGACCTTGAGAGTTCAATTGATATCAACTGACTTATAATGGTAGCCATGTAGAAGTTGAATTGTTCTAAGATGGCAACAAATAAAAGGTCAGAGTATAAGGGCTCACTGAAATTGTAATTTCAGAGTCACCTAGGAGTACACTTCTGGGAGTGTCTGTGAAGTAATTTCCAAATAAAAACTACTCTGTACATGAGCAACACAGGAGCTGGGGTCCCAGACTGAATAAAAAGGAGGAAGTAAGCTGAGCACCAGCATTCATCTCTCTCTCTGCTTCCTATGGGTGCAATGAGACCAGCTGTCTCAAGCTCCTGCCACCATGTTTTCCTGCAGTCCTTTCTTCCCATCATGATGGACCATATCCTCTAGACCATAAGTCAAAGTTAATCCTCCTTCCTTAAGTTGCCTTTGTTAGGTATTTTGTAACATCAATGAGAAAAGTAACAAGTAAGCATTCTTTCAAGTACCCTTTGCACTCATGTAAAATACACACAATAAGAAAAAAAATACAAATATACAAATGTTATACACACAGGCAGGTAATACTTTTTTGAAGATCCCTTCCACAAGAGTACATTTTTTTTTCTTTTTAATAGTTGTGCAAACATTCAATTTATATTTAAAATTTTTATTACATTTATTTTTGTGTGCGTGCGTGCGTGCGTGCAGGCACACACATGTGGAAAAGAGAAGACAACTGGTGGGAGTCAGTTTTCTCCTACTATGTAGGTCCTGGGAATTGAAATTAGGTCATTAGGCTTGGCGGCAGGCACCTTTACCCACTGAGCCATCTATCTCCCTGGCCCTCAATTCATAATTTTTTCTGAGTACAGATTTTATTTTTGTTTTTTGTCTTTTAAAATACTTTATTGAATTTTTGTGTATTTCATACAGAAAATCATCTTTATACCCCTTTCTCCCTTGGCACCCTCACATAGCCCCCCCACTGGAGTTCATACATTCTGTCATTTGTGTTAAGGTCTACTATGTAAGGTTAGTGTCCCCAGATGTCCCTCAGTGCAAGTTCAGTCACCTGGGTTTAGTTAGCCTATCTAGAGTCTCTCCCTTCAAGATCAACAATTCCTCACCCAGCAGTAATAAGCTGCCAATAATTTGACTAAGATTGGGGCTTGCTGTTCATTTCCACAGTTCTATGCTGGGTTTTTGCCTGCCTAAGTTTGCATGGGTCTTGTGCATACTGACACCATTGCTGTACGTTTGTATGAGAAGGGTCCCAGGCACTTACAGGACGATTTCTGTACGGTCATGCACCTCTTTCCTGGCTCTTACAATTTTCTGCCTTCTCTTCTGCAATGGTCCCTGAGCCCTGGGTGGGTGGACCTCAAAATAGGAGACCTGTCCAAGGACCCACACTCTGCAGATTCTTAGTCTCTGCATTTTGGTCATTTGTGGCCTTTTGTGCTCCTGGCCCTCTGTTTCATGAGGGAGCTTCATTGATAATTAAAAGATGCATTAGTGTTCTCTTCATCCCTTGTTCTATGTTCCGTGAGTCTTAGATGTACAGGTTGCATCCCAGATGTGCGACTTAGGCTTGGGCAAGTCACAGAAAATCTCTGTGTGTGACCAGTGGTGTAACTCTGTAATAATCTCTGTCTGTTGAAAAAGAAGCTACTTTGATGGATGGTAACTGTAATACTTGTCTGTAGATTTAAGGATCCATATTTTGCACATCGTAAGAAATTACATTTGCCCAGGGATATGAGAACCTTGGGGTTTTCTTTAAGATCTATGACCTCTCCAGCTATGAATTCATACATTTTTATAATACTTCTAATTTCCACAATCTTCAAATTTCAATAGTTTAATGGACATAGACAATTAAAAAAATCAGTTTCTAGACCCTGAACTTCTATCTTGCACACTCCCTAATTGATCCAAGTGTACTTTTTCTTGCTTAGCTCCCCTTTTAAAAACCGCAGGGCTCCACAAGCACCTGAGGCGAGTGGTGCTGGCATTCCATGTACTGCAGAGGGGCTGGGGCTGTGAGGGCCAAGGTTCTGGACTACAGGTGCTGTGTCTGGCCCAGCACCCCCAGGTTCCAAGGAGCTGGAGGGGCAGTAGTGGCAAGGGCAGCTGGCTGCGGATATTCACGAGGCACTTTAGTACAAGGAGCTGAAGTTGCCTTTTTACAAAGGCCAGTCCCCTCAACTGAGTCTCAGGCAATGTTTTGCTGGCTTGATTGTCATCGTGAGCAATTGCTTCTGCCCTTCTGCCCAACATCTTGCTATTTGCTGGACCTGTTCATGGACCGCTGTGACATCTCTATCCAGCAGCTGCATTTAGCTGTGCTTTCCTGTTTACTCCTAGCAAGTAAACTTAAAGAAAAAGAGGATAGTGTGCCTTACAGCCTGGGTTGTATTACTAAGATGAATCTAGAACTAACAAAACAAAAATTGCTACATATGGAACTATTGGTGTTAGAAACCTTTCAGTGGAACCTCTGCCTTCCTACAGCTGCCCATTTCATTGAGTATTACCTCTCTGAAGCAGTACATGAAACGGATCTTCATGATGGCTGGCCAATGATTTGCTTGGAAAAAACAAAGCTCTACATAGCCAAATATGCAGATCACTTCCTGGAAGTGTCTCTGCAAGATTATGCCTTTCTAAATTATGCACCTTCTTTAGTAGCTGCTGAGTATGTAGCTTGAGGATTTTACTTCGTCTTTCTCCAACATGGCACGCAAGACTGCATTGTCTAGTCACTTACTCCTGGTATTTCTTATGCAGTGTCTTGAACAGCTATTGGTTGCTAATGACAACGACATGAAAGAAGCAACAAACAGAGGGGGCAGGCAGGCCCCCAGTCAGCACAACTGGGTGTGTTCCAGATGACTTCCCAGCCTTCATGGCCAGTTCACTTTGAGCAACCTCAGCATCTTCATCAGACTCATCATACCTTGATGCAGTATCCCCATCCTCTATCCAAACAGCACAGCTGTCTACCATGCATACCTCATCTTACAACTACAAACAAGTCCTGCTGGCTTGCAAACTAGCATTCAGGGCCTTGGGCACATGCACACTAGTGTCCTTGGCAATACCAGTGGAAGTTAAACCCTGTCTGAGTGTTTCTTATAACTGGAGTTATCAGATAAATGAACATTACCCATGCATCACTCCATGCTTTGAGAGGTGATCATGTGTGCAGGTTATAAGTGACACAGACTGTTCTGTGGCCTATAGCTCTGGGGGAAGCTTTTTGTAATCCTCCCTTCAAAAGGAAAGGAATACAAATAAACATTAGAACTAGTCAGGTACCAGCACCAGGAAGACTGAATATCCCTTTCAGTACACCATGGATACCTAGGAGACATATAAATGTCATTAAATGACTCTGCAGACATTGTAATGTATATCAAATCCTGTTACAACAAATCTTTGTATGACAGAAATGTTCCAGCCCTGGCTGATGGACCAGATATTTCAAAATACTCAATACAGCAGGAAATTTGGGAGACTACAATCTGTCATTCTGAGATTTGACCTATGGTAGGCTCTGGACCATATGTCAGGTAATATGTCAGACTGTTTATCTATGGACTTGCCAAACTGTCTTTTATGAAGGAAAATTCCAATATTAATTTTTGAAGAGATTCTTTTTTCAAATTCTGCAGTTTTGAGTTTTATTTTTGACCTATAGGTGGATTTCTAAGTTTGAACTCATGAATTGCTATGTATACTAATATGTAAACGTATACTAATTTAAAGAAATTCAGATCATTCTATATAACTTCCTATCATAAATAATTATAGGTATCTGGATTTATGTACTAAAATTAAGGGCAAAGCAGATACTGAAATTATCTTGAAATCATGGTCATAATTTTGTTTGGCTGTGTTTGTTTTTTTTTCTCCCCAAGTGAGCAACCTCAAGTCTTTAGGATTAAAACACATTTAACTCAGAGAATTTGTACTACTTGTAAATACTTAACTGTAATGCAACATGCTTTAGGAATGTTACAGTGTGAACTACCTGCATAACACAGACTTAAAATACTCCTGCTAGAATATGGTTTTAAATGAGAGCCTAAAATAGCACAGGATGAATGATTTGTGTCCTGTGTATACTCCAGTTCCAGGGGATATATGCAAGTAATACACTCATACACACACAAAAAAATAAAAAAGTATTTAAAAAATGTATTTAATGTAAGTATAATACACAATAGACATTATGGCTCTTTAAATTCTTAGTTTTATTTTGCAACAGGATCTTTTTCTTTTAATTATTTTTATTTAATGTGTATGAGTATATTGCCTGCATGTAGGTAGGTGCATCCATGTTGTGCAATGCCCACAAAGTTCAGAAGAGGGCACTGGGTCCCCAACTGGATTTATGGATGGTTGTTAGCCACCATGTGGGTGCTGGGAACCGAACTCAGGTCCTCTGCAAGAGCAGTCAGTGCTTGTAAACGCTAAGCCATCTCTCCAGTCCCCTGAAACAGGATCATATTCTGTAGCTCAGGCTGGCCTGGAATTCACTATGTAGTCCAGACAAAACTGCTTTCCAAGTCAGATTTTTTTTTTTTAATCTTTTTGAGACAGGGTCTCCCTATAGTCCCAGCTGGCCTAGAGCTCACTATGTAGACCACACTGGCCTTGAACTCACAGAGATCGGCCTGCTTCTGCCTGGGATTAAAGGCATGCACCACTAGGACTGGCTTCCAGATTTTGATATGCTTAAAGTTAATTGCATTTTTTCACCTCTATTAAGCTCTTTTGAAGTTGGAAACATGTTTTATTCATCTTTTTGCATCTTCATCATTTATTTTGGTATCTTATTCATAACAGGTGTTAAGCTAAAGCTGAAGATTTAAAGTACTTTTAGAAAAGGATAAATGAATAAAAATTAATTGTTCAGAGATTTTTCTTTTACCCAGTAAATTCACTAGCCTATTACACGAAGCAGTTTTCATTTTCAAGGCTCCATAGATAAAACTCAGGATCAGCTAGTATACACAACTCATCCAAGGAATGTGGGGGTAAAGGAGGGGAGAAATTATCAGAGATGGGAAATAGACATGAAGGAAATGAGGAAATTAGGCTGATTAAATTAAGATGGTCTTGCTAAGGGAAAAAAAAATCAGATAAAAACTGGTTTAGTAGGGTGGGATCAGATTATGAATATCTGGAAATTTCTTATCTTCTCAAAGAGAGAGCTATATACAACTGATGAAGAAAAGATCACACTGTTCCTATTTGGAATTAGAAAAGTTAACGTTAGGAGAGAAAACAGATTTCATAGAAGAGTTAGAGAATAACTGTGGTAATTCTCAGAAAACTGTTATTAATAAACTAGAGTAAGATATTTGTAAAGCTAAGTTTTGGGCTTAAAATGCCTTCTTGGGAAAAGAACATATTTTATAACCCTAATAAAAGAGTTACTCATCTCTTGAGCCAGACATGGTAGTGCATGCCTCCAATCCCAGCACTTAGGGGGCTGAGGTAGGAGGACTGCCAAAAGTTTGAGGCCAGCCTGGTCTACACAGTGAGTTCTAGGCCAGCCTGGGCTACAAAGTGAGACCTTGTCTCATTGAAAAAAAAAAATCCCTGTCTTGTGTTGATATCTTCAGTAGACCATGGCAACTAAAACCAGGCAACTTAGTAGATAACCAATCATTTCTAGTGAATTCAAAAATGCAAAATCACAGACACAGACACAGACACAGACACACACACACATCAGGAATTTTTTTAAAACTGAAGCTCAGAAGATGCCTATGTTAAAGCATACATATGAGGGCCGGGCTCGGTGGCACAGGCCTTTAATCCCAGCACTCAGGAGGCAGAGGCAGGCAGACCTCTGTGAATTCATGGCCAGCCTGGTCTACATAGCGAGCTCCAGGCCTACTGAGGCTACAGGGAGACCCTGTCTCAAAAAAGACCAAAAACACAACAACAACAAAAACATATATATGGGGTTGGAGAGAAGGCTCAGCAGTTAAGACTACTCATTGCTCTTGTAGAGGACCTGGGTTCGGTTCCCAACACCCACATGGTGACTAATAACTGTCAACAACTCCAGTTCCAGGTCAGGCCTTCTTCTGACCTCTGTGGGCACTGCATGACACAGGTGCACTTACATACATGCAGGCAATACATTCATACACATAAAATAAAAATAATAAAATATTTTTAAAAACATACATATAAGCTTAATATGGTGATAGATAAATGTGAGAGGCTGATACAGGAGGGTCAACAGTTTGCAGCCAGCCTGGGCTACATGAAGAGATCTCCAAATACAAAACAAAACAAAAAACATAAATGCAGACAAACTGCTATAAAAGCAATAAAGACAGCTATGGCATAAAGAAATAAATAACCTACAGTTATTTAAACATAACAAGTTTAAATTATTATGACTGGTTTCTACCAAACATTTAAAAGAAAATAATTTTAATACATATAACGAATAGGTGATATTATGTAAAAAACAGAAACAAATTCATTTTATGAAGCTAGAAAAACTTAGAAAACTTAAAATTTCAAGGAATTTGTTAAAAGAATCACAATACCAAAAGCAAGAAAGCCAAGAGACCAAAGCATCAATCATTCCATGGTGAAAAAAAATCGTTAACATTTCTAAAAAACAGAAAACAAATATAATCAGCTTTACAAAGAAACCAAAGCTTAGAAACTATAGACCAAAAACATTAGTAGAAATTTCTACTGAGACACTTCTAGAAGACTGCTAATTGGAAATCATATAGGCTTATGACAGAATTTTCAGTCGTTAAATAAACATCAGGAAAGGTAAGCATGTTAGCACTAAGGGGAAAGATACTGGAAGATGCTTCTGAGGAAATTAGCCAAACGACAAAAAGATAAATGGAGGGAAAATATGAAAGACATTAAGAACAATATTAGTAAACCTGGGAGATATTTGGACGGAAAATAGTCATAAATTTTCTAAACCAGTTGCAAATAAAAAACATTGAGAGTAACACACTGAGTCCTGTCCATGACACACACAACTTACTCCAAAACTATTCAAGTGAAAAGCAAAAAAGTTCTTAAAGTCAACCAGAGAGGAAAGAAAAACAAGCCAGACTGATGGTATATTTCTCAACAAAAGCAAATCAGCAAGAAGGTAATGAAATTACTCTAAGAAGCAAAAAGAAAAGAGCTGACAACCTAGAAAAGAGAAATGGAACCCCAAAATAGTAACACCTAAGATGACTACGTCCTAAAACCTAGAATATGCATGCTACTTAACAAAGCAAAAGGAATTCTGCACATGATTACGTATATGGAGATAAGGAAATTACTCTGGATTATCTGGGTGGGCCTTCAATATCATCACAAGAGTTTCATTAGAAGGAAATTTTATTGAAGAGGATCAGGTGATAAGACATAGAGAGGGCTGGAGAGATGGCTCAGCAATTAAGAGCACTGGCTGTTCTTGCAGAGGATCCAGGTTTGATTCCCAGCACCTACATGGGGGCTAACAAACTTCCCTAACTCTAGTTCCAGGGGCTCTAATGCCCTCTTCTGATCTCTGCATTGCACAACACAGATACACTCATATACATACATACATACATACACACACACACATATATAAATATGCAGGCAATAATACACTCATAGACATTAAAAGAAAATACAGCAGGGTCAGGCATGGAGAGCAGCCTAAGTGGCAGTAGCCGAAGGGAGCGTGGGGCGACGGCAGCTTGTAACAAGTTTTCATCACACATGAATATAAGCTAGTCGTTCTTGGCTCAGGAGGTGTTGGGAAGTCGGCTCTGACTGTACAGTTTGTTCAAGAAATTTCTGTTGAAAAATATGATCCTACGATCGAAGATTCTTATAGAAAGCAAGCTGAAGTAGATGCACAGCAGTGCATGCTTGAAATCTTGAACACTGCAGGGATGGAACAATTTACAGCAATGAGAGATTTGTACATGAAAAATGGACAAAGCTTTGTTTTAGTTTATTCCATCACAGCACAGTCCATATTTAATGATTTACAAGATCTGAGAGAACAGATTCTTCAGGTTAAAGACACTGATGATTTTCCAATGATTTGGAAGATGAAAGAGTTGTAGGAAAGGAACAAGGTCAAAATCTAGCAAGACAATGGAACAACTGTGCATTCTTAGAATCTTCTACAGAATCAAAAATAAATGTTAATGAGATCTTTTATGACCCAGTGTGGCAAATTAACAGAAAAACCCCAGTGCCTGGGAAGGCCTGCAAAAAGTCGTCATGTCAGCTGTTTTAATGTATTAAATACATTGTAGCTCTGAGCCAGGTCTGAAAAACTGTTGCCCAATTCAACAGTGCCAGCATTCCAACTTTGTTAAATCTACCAACATCTTAAATGGACTTTCCTGTGGTGGTACCCTTTAAGAGGTGGATGAAAGCTACTATATCAGTTTGTACATTCTAATCACTTTCCAGTATCACAAGAGAGATTTTCACTTATATATAATACTTCCAGAGTATGCTCCTGGTAAAACCAGAGGCTACATTCAGTATTACTGCTAAGAGACATTCTTCATCCACCAATGTTGTACATGTCTGAAAATGGTGTACTGTATACTTTAGCACACTCCATACTTTGTATTGGAGAGTACAATAATGTAAATCCTAAAAGCACCACTATTTTAGCATAATAAAAGAAAGTCCAAAGGTGTGGGGGGATACAGCAAGTAATTCTATGCATGCCAAAAGTAGATCTTGGTATTGGGATAGAGACTGCTTTAAAAAACATTTGCCAGCTGGGCATGGTGGTGCATGCCTTTAATCCCAGCAGAGGCAGAACTCTATGAGTTCAAGGCCAGCCTGGTCTACACAGTGAGTTCCAGGGAGACCCTGTTTCAAAAAGACCAAAAAAAAAAAAAATTGCCTTTTTTTCTTTGCAGACATTAGTGCAAAATGTTATCACTGACAATCATGTAATGTTTACAAGGGTGTTCACTAACTTAATTTCTGTGGGGTTTGAGCCTCCCTCCACTACTTTTTTCCTTTAATGTTAAATAGGGATCTTCTTTTTCCTCAGCAATGCTTAACCACCCCCCCCATGTCTACTTTATTCGCTATTGACCTGCATACACTAGAGTTCTTAATCCTTTGCTTGGTATTTTTTCATTCTTTTAATAAAGGGATTATATGTATATATTTGTTGTTGTTGTTAGCTCCTTTGGGGGTTTGAAGGAGAAATGTTCCCCATAGGTTCAAGTATTTGAACACTTGGTCCCAGCTGGTGGCACTGTTTGGAGAAGTTTAGGAGGTATAACCTTGCTGGGATAAATATGCCATTGGGCGCAGGCTTTTCTTCTATTTTGGTATTTTCTGTTGAAGATGTGAGCTCTCTGCTTCCTGCTCCTGCTTCCAAGCCTGCTACTTGAGCCATGCCTCTCTGCCATGATGCACTGTTACCCCTTTGGAATCCTAAGCCAAAGTAAACTCTTCTATAAAGGTGCACCTCTGGTCATGGTGTTTTATTACTGCAAAAGAAAAGTAACTATTACAGCTTATTTCGTTTTTAAACATACTTGGTTATATTTTAACCAGAGAATTTAACTTTTATATTTAATATATATATTATATATATTTATTTATTTCATGTGTGTGCACACGGGCATGCTCATTTGCCATGGCACACATGGATAGGTAAGAAGAAAACCTGTAGTTCTCAATTCTTTCCTTCTACTACCTGGGGACCTGGGGACAGAGCTCAGGTCATCAGGCTTGGCAGCAAGCATCTTTACCTGTTGAGTCATCTTGCTTGCCCTTATATTTTTGTAGCTAACTTATTTCTACCACCTAACACATTTTTTACTTAACTTTTCTGTGCTTTTCCAACTTCCATTGATGGATCAAGTTTTAGTAGTTTTCTACATACATCTACATTGTGGCCACATTCTAAGCTACAAAGCACATTATAAATACATATATATACACAGTTGGTATTATACAGATCATATTCCCTTACCATGATATAATCAATTTAGAAGTATCAGTAATAATTTTTTTTTTTTTTTTGGAGACAGGGTCTCCCTGTAGCCCCAGCTGTCCTGAACTCACTACGTAGACCAGGCTGGCCTTGAACTCACAGAGATCTGCCTGCCTCTACCTCCCAAGTGCTGGGATAACAGGCATGTGCCACCATGCCCGCGGGGCTCAGTAATAATTTTTAATGTTTTTGAAACATTAACTCATGAGAAAAAAATGTTTAGGATGTTAGAAATAAGGATTTTTGAACTCAACAAAGGATATCTCTAAGAAACTTTTAGGGACATATCCCATGTTATTAGTGCTATGATACACAAGAGCTAATGGCATGAGTTAAGATATAAAAACAAGCATAAGCATTGGAATGGGGTCTTGGAAGAGAGGGTAGAAAGACTGTAGGAGCCAGAGGTTGGGGAAGACCAGAGATAATGTCTTCTGGACATGACAAGATCGCTGCACTTATGAACTCATAGCAACTATGGCTGCTGCACAAGACTTGCACAAGATCAAGCTACCCAAGGTTCTAACATGGAGTAGGAAGGAGTTCATGAGCCCTGAGTCCTAACTGAGGAGCTATGGACAGCTGATGGTTTCTGGGGTAGGGAGTGTCAGTTTTCTTTAAGGGTGTGGTTTCTGGTAGGTTGACCACACTCCAGTGGATGGCCCCATATTCGCAGTACGTGGGCAGGACAAATTGGGGTCTATGGGTTATTAGAAGGGAGGACCAGAGAGATGGCTCAGTAGTTAAGAGCTCTCACAGTCCATAATAAAACAAAGTAAATAGAAGAAATAAAGATGGCATTAAATCTATTTTGAGTTAAAAACACTGACCAAGTGAAGGCTAAGTGGGATGAGTTAAAATATCTGATAAAGCCTAGTTTTCAAAACTAAATTCCAGAAATTCAAAACTGGAAGAAAAACTTCCAAAAGCTTTTTATAAAATAACCAGAATTAACTTGGCATCAGACTTTTCATCAGCAACATTAAAATATAAAGGAGAAAGAGTACTTGTTATTTAAGTGAAGGATATTAATGAGAATGGGGAAAGGTGGCTAACAATTCCAGGGGTTTCTTTCTGGAGTGGTAAAAATGGGCTGTGGGGTTGGGTGCACAGGTCTGTAAGTGTGTGGTGTGTGAGTGTGTATTTTTTAATGTGTATGAGTGTTTTACCTGCATGTATGTTAAATGCACCCGTGTTGTGCAATGCCTGAGGAGGCCAGAGAAGAGGGCCTTAGATTCCCTGGAATTGGAGTTAGGGATAATTGTTAGCCACCATATATGTGCTGAGAACCAAACCTGGATACTCTGCAAGATCAGTCAATGCTCTTAACCACTAAGGCATCTCTCCTGTATATCATAAAGTATATGGCATAGAAACTAAACTTCAATAAAACTTTTTAAAAAAAACAATGAGTGGCCAGAGATGTCCATTAGTAGTAGAGCACTTTCTACCATGTGAAAGGCCCTGAGCTGATTCCCTGGCAACTCTGTCTTCCCATTATACAATGGATAATGCCTTCAATTCCCTAATGAAATGATTTTTAACCCAAACTACCAATTTTACAAATTAATTACCAATATAGCATGAAAGGGTAAATGAAAGCTTCTGGATATGCATCTTAGTTTCTTCCTCTGTTGCTGTAATAAAGTATCCTGCCAAAGCAACTTAAAGGAGAAGAATTTATTTGGCTTACAATCCATCATGGGGGCAGCAGGAATGTGAAGTGAGCTAGTCACATTATATACACAGCCAAGAGCAGAGACCAAGGAATTCACATGCATGCTGGTGCTCAGCTTACTCTCTCATTTTCATTCAGTCCAGGGCCCAGTTCAAGAAATGGTGCCACCCATATTCAGGGTCCTCTCAATCAACCCAATTAAGAAAATTCTTGAGCTGGGTGTCGTGGCACACACCTTTGATCAAGGAGACCCTATCTCAAAAAAATGCCAAAAAAAAAAAAAAAAAGAAGAAAATTCCTGAAAGACCTGCCCACAGGTCAGCCTAATTCAGACAATTCATCATTGGGACTTCCTTCCCATGTGACTCGACATTTTGTCAAGGAGACAGCCAAAACTAACCAGCACAGTATGTAAGGTCTCAGAATTCACCTCAATGGGAATCATAGCTCTAAAAAGATTCCTATTTTTGACTTTGAAATTGCACTTCAAGGAATTTTATCTATCACAAAACTTGTAAAATAAAGTAGGGGTCTGTTTTCAACAATGATAAAGGTAAAGGAAAATCATTCACTGGTGAAAAGAGCATCAATTAGTTTTCAACATCAAAACCAGACATTGTTCTTTATATACACAGATAACGAACACGAAATAAGTTGGTCCAAAAGAAGAAAATATATCCCATAGCCATTACAAAGTAGAAAGTTAAAGATAGTGATAGTAGGCTAGGTATGGTGGTGTATGTCTTTAATCCCAGTACTTAGGAGGCAGAGGCAGGTAGATCTTTGTTCTAGGCCAGCCAAGGCTGCATAGTGAGACCCTGTCTCCAAAGAAAAAAAAGGAAGAAAGAAAGAAAGAAGGTAGTAATTGTGGCTATAGTATGGTAAGCAAAAAGAGAGGGCTAAGAGGGGTATCAGAAAAATTAGGCAAGAAACAAGGTAATAAAGGGTCTTGAAAACTATAAGTACACTGAATTTTACTCTTTATAATCACAATCTAAAGGTCAAAACCAGGCTTTTGTATAACAATTTAATTTATAGTTATTTTATTATTGAAAATTATAGACCCTACTTTGTAAATGAGAATATTATGGCAGATGTGCTAAATATCTTGCTCAACACCACAGCTGTTTGACGATTTACCAGTTAAGAGCACTTGCTCTTGCAGAGGACCTGGGTTTGGTTCCCAGGACCCATACCAGGTGGTGCACAACTGCCTGTAACTCTGTAGCTCTAGTTCCAGAGGATCTGAGGCTTCTTCTGTTCTCCTCAGGCACCTGCATACATGCATTAACAGGAGGGGGTTGATCAAATGACCAAGGAGGTAGCCAACTATGCAAGCTTGGAACTCAGGAAAAGATGTGGCAGAGACACATCTGAGTGTCTTAAGGGCAGGTGAGCAGAGAAGACTCAGCAGTAGGGTCACCAATATTTATAAGATTGGTGATGAATAGAGACATCAAAAAACGGCTGAGAAGAAAAAGTAAAATAGGCAAAAAAAACCTTGAGTGAAGACTACTGGCTAAAAATAGGAGCATGACTTGAGAAGACACTAGGAAAAAAGGGGTTTATATATCCATACACAGCT